CCCAGGCCATTCTATGATTCTGTGGTTTTTAACTGGTGATTAATTTGGTTTCCTTTCTGTTCTATTCCTTGTGTTACCTTGACAAAGTCAAGGACCAGTGCTGCTGGATCCACAGCAGAGCAGATCCCTGTTTCCTCACTCTTGGCACTAGGCCTCGGTGACGTGCCAGAGAAACCCAGCTATTCAAAGACTCCCAGGGATTCAGTTATTAAAACACTGAGACATCATCTGCACCAAAATACACCCTGATCTGTACACAGAGACAGATGCATTCTCAGATTTATTTAGTTGAAAACGTTCCTTAATTGTAAGCAATATTTTTGTAATTGTTATCGTTGCTATGAGAGTAAGGTCTAGGTTTTGATCCCAGGCACACAAGCACATGCTGCTAATCTGAGCATTTATTTCCACTGGCACACACAGTATGGAGTATAAATTACTCACAGTGACCACTGCATTGTCCCACATTTATGCTATAGGTCCTCAATCTTGAGAAATACACGGACATTCGTAGCTCTATAAATGGTGGCATCTTGATTTTATGGCATCTATTCATATTACATAAAACAAATTACATACAGACATTTGCAGGATTAAAGCTACAAGATGTAGGCTAAAAATATGCAGTGATTAACTGTATAGCTCTCTCTGCAGATCTGGAATAGTTATAACTGTGTTAACTCTGAACCTGCCAGTTCCCACATTCCTCGAGTTGGGATGAAAATCATCCAAGCATGGATTTTCCCCTCAAGAAAACACTCAGAAGAACACCTGGAAATATCACTGATTGTCAGTTTCTTGTGATATTTTTCTTCAGGGTATTTTTTCAGTCCCAATTGACAACTGTTTGAATTATTTCAATTTCATAAAAACAACATCAACAAGGGTCATGACTTTGTGTCAGGTGAATAATGTGCTTTTAGGGAAAGACAATGTAGATTTTTCTCTCTCGTATAGATAGGAAAGGAAGAAGATATCTGCAGTTCCTCTGAAGGAAATTATGGCTCCCCAGCCAAGTTCTTATCTCCCAATCTACAACTTACGTCTATCAACTTAAAGCCAGTGAATTTTTAAGATTTAAGCTCCTGGAAATGCACAAAAAAGGCTTTGGTTGATGCAGCTCTTCCCGATCTTGTGGGCTCTGGACCCCAGTGATCCATCTTGGAGAAAGTGGGAAACGGAGTGAGCAGCTCCAAATGAAACTCCTGCTGTTTTGCTCGCAGGAGGTTAAATTCAGAGGCATTTCTGTGGAGTTCCTGCAGTACCACCTCAGGATCAGCTGGAAAGGCAGCAGAGCTGGCCAGTTCCCTCTGCTGTGTGGCTGCACACTGCGCTTCCACAGGCACTTGGCATTTCCCTCCCGAACGTTTCCAAGGTGACAGGAGCTCATATATGGAGCTTTCTGGCGTTTAGGCAGGAAGACATGCCAATAATGGAATCTGCATTTTGGCAGGGTGGTTCATATCAATTACATAACACAACTTGTCTGCCCCTGTTGTTTGGTAGGGATCGATGTTGGCCTGTAAACAATGGCAAACATTGATTTGTCGGACTGTAAATAATGGCAAACATTGATGAGCATCTTCCCAATGAGTCATCCTTACAGATGTATGGACAGAAAATGACAGGGGCATTTGCTGTCAGAGCACTTCATGGAGGGATGGGCTGGGATGGCAGCAGCTGGGAGTGCAGCACATCTGAGGTAAAACTGTCATCCTGGAATTAGCCCTGGCTTGGGGGCAAAGTGGGGAATTTCATCCCAAATCTGTTGCATAAAGAAAAGAAAAGGAGGGCAAAGTGTCTGGCTGCAGTGTGCTTCATGATTATAAAAAAAATTATGCAGATTGAGGGAGGAACTAGATGTTCTACAGAACATTTAGAAACAGATAAAAACTGTATTGCTAGCATTTAAGGTGAAAAGGAAATTAATATTGTGGTTATCCAGATACTGATTAAATACAGACACATTTGTGTTGGGGCTGGGGGACGTTCAGACAGTGCAAGTACAGTACAACCTCTGAAATGAGCTAAATATTCCCACCATGCAATTGCTACTGATATTCCCAAATCTCATTTACAAAAATAGGCATATGTGTGTAATTTATATATCTAGAGACATTTGGCGATGTTGCCACAACAGTCTTTCACGAGCTGCTTAGGTGGAATCATGGGAGGGTGAGATTAATTATCCCTGTGGTACGTTTTTTGCCTCTTAAAATTATATGTGACAATATGATATCTTTATTTTTCTGGCAGTAAAACCACCTGTTCTATTTAGAAAATTATCTATTAAGAATACCAGGTAATGCAGTGCAGCCATAAAATAAATTGAAATAATGTCCTTTTGATACAGTCTCAAAATCCTGAGTAATAAATGACTGAAAACTTGTTTTTTTGGCCCAAATTGCTCAGCATGCTTCTCCTCAATCCCCTCAAATTGCACCATCCAATAAATGATTGTATGGTAGCATTTACAGAAGTATAGATGATTGTGATCAGAGAAAATTCATACCTGTTACACATTCCAGAAGAAAAATACTTGACAGATACTGAAATGTGGGTTTCTGGCTTCAATGTAGTAAAATATACTTCAAAGTTGTGACCTTTATTAGTGCTTGAGTAGGGTAGATTCTTCAAGAATTACTAATTGTTGATATAATAGTAATAACTAATGATTTAATAAATAGTAATGATTAAATGTCATTGTGAAATTGTCCAGATGTGGGTGGTGCCCATCAGCATTTGGCCTGGCATGGACATCAGAAACACTGATTTAAGAACCTGTGTTGCTTCCACAGATCTACTACAGCACAGATCAAAGCTTGCCCCAAGTTGTGTGACTCTGACCTGATGTCCTGGTCCTGCTGGAGCTGCAGTGACCCCACCCAGCCCCCGAGGGTCCTGCTGAGCCCTCCCTGCAAGGTCAGAGCCTGGGATGGACATTTCAGTGAAAGCTGGTGCCTGCAGCCATAGGGATTGAGGAGAAGTTTGTTGGAGTGAAAAAAAAGGCTTAGGAAACATTGAGTATCATGGGCCATCTTTTTAAGACTATTTGACAGTTCCCAGCCAGTAGCTAAAGCTAAAGGAAAGCTTTAATTATTTTCAAGAGGATTAGATGAGAAAGATTTGGAGAGCTTATTTATTTTGTTTTGTTTTGATGTTTTAATGGCAATTTTAATAGTTTCTTAATCTATGTCTTAGCAATTTTAATCTGTCATTGACTGTAATGAGTTTGGGATATTTAGCTAGAACTGTAGGAAATGAAATGTATTGTTGATCTTTATTATTTTATCTCCTCTCTTCCCTTTGGCAATAGGAGTTATTTATTTTGAGTAGGTTGTGTATATATGTGTGTATGTATATATATATATGTATATACACCAGTCTATTTTAAATATGTATTGCATGTCAAACCAATTAAATCCAAGGCTGAATGACCAAACTTTTGTCCTTCTTCTTTATGAGGATATAATCCTTGGATTAGGATAAAGGTCCTTGTAGATAAAATGTAATTTATTTATCTGAGAGAACTTTCATGTCTTTTAGGATTGCCATTGTATTTTTACTTGTGTCAGTGGTCACTTTGGTAGCAAGGTCTGTCCTTTCAGAACATGGTGTGCTTATATCAACACACAAATACACACATCACACACTTACACGTGTCATCCACACATAAAATCCACTCAGACACAATCCAGATGTACAGAGTGCCTCTCTGGATTTTTGGCTATTTTTACAGCTATATGCTGAAGATGCAGAAAACTGTTCTTTTTTACTAGTAAATTAGGTGACAGCTCTCCAGCCAGAGGAGAACAACACTGAGGAATTCTCAGCATAGGTATATAGCCCACAGCACCATCAGCCTTATGAGTAGGAAAAATATGAAACATCTAAACTGAAAATATCCCAAAAGGTGTGAATGTGTTATATGGAGAGACAAAGTCATTCTGTTCTGTGTGTCATCAGGTAAATTCCATTTCAAATCTTTCAGTTTACCTCCTAAAGAAAAAAAAAAAAAAATTAATGTAATAATCTGACTCCTTGAGTTAAAATTTGTGTCTTTTCCTCCTTTTTGCATGTTAGCTGCAGGATTGCCATTGAGATGGGCAGAGGGAGGAAAAGATCAGAAAGAAAATAACCTCTTACATTATTCTCACAGGTTTATGACATGCCTGTATTTGTTGTATTACATTTGTGTGTGTGTTGTGTACATCTGTTCTCGTGGATTTCATGGGGCTGTTATTCCCCTCACCCACCATCCATCCCTCAGTAGCCATTTGAAATGTTGGTACTAAATAACAATACAGAACTAAAAAGACAAAAAGATGAATCCAACATTTTACCCCAGATGCCTCCGTTCATTAGCTTAAGATACCTGCACAATCATTTTTGTTTTATGATATAATTTCTTGAAAATGTCTCTTTCACACTGTTTCCTTTGTGGGTTGGTTTTAAAATTGTCATTCGAGATTGAACAGCACCAAAAAGCCGAGGAGGCGGAGGAGGAGAGAAGGAAAGAGCGAATATGGAGGAGAAAACCGAGTTTGACCTGCAAGTCAAGATGAGCCCGAGGTCCCGAGGAGCCCCGCGGCCGGGTCCCCCCTGGCCCCGTGCCGGGAGCCGCGGTGCCCGGGAGCCGGCGGAGATCCCGGGAGTTCGCGAGGCACAAGAGGTGGAAGCCGGACGATGGCAGCCCGGGATGGAGCAGTGAGCTGCTCCGAGCGTTTCACTGTAGAGAAGCCCCCAGGAGCGGCGAGGCAGAAGTTTGTGTTGCGGGCTCTGCGCCTCTCGGTGGTACCGCCGGGCCGGGACAGCGCGCAGGCAGCGGAGAGGCGGCATTTCCTTCCCCCGGCTCCATCGGCGGTGCGCTCGGAGCGATGCCGGCAGCCGGGCTGCAGCTGCGGTGCCCGGGTGCCGCCGGGATTTGCCGGGAGCTCGGGGGGGGCGGCGGGGGGCGGCGGCGGCGGCGGTGCCTGCGGTTCACATGCCCCGTGCGGAGCGGGCACAGCGGCTCCGAGCGCCCCGGGACCGGCCGCCCCTGCCCCGGGCTCGGGCTGCAGCTCCTCCTGCTCCTCCCCGGCACGATGCGCGCAGGACATTAGCGGCTCCGGAGCACTTTGAGTTGCTCCCACCCCGCTCCGTGGGATTAATCTATCCTTTTGGAGGTTATTTTCGGCAAGCAGCCTCGCAGGCGGGCAGAGCGGCCGGAGGAAGAGCCCGCGGCAGGGGAGGGATGCGGGAGCAGGGCAGCGGAGCCGGGCGGGACTGAGCCACCCGCAGAGGAGAGGAGGAGAGGGAAGGAGAAGAGAGGAGAGGAGAGGAGAGCTGCCCTGCTCCCTGCTCCCGTGCCGGGCTGCCTGCATGGCTCCCGGGCACTGTGGAGATTGTGGGGGCTGCTGCTGCTGAGCAACCATCCATCGCTTTAAACTCAGCCTCAACTTAGCGCAGCAGGCAAGAATGGCAAAGCCACTGGAGCTTTGGAGCTGCCAGGAGAGCCGGGGAACCTGGGTTTTGGTCGCTGCTGTCTAATAAATGGGAGTAAAATGGAATTTCTTACCTGGGTTTTTCCTGCCTTGATTCTACTGTGCACCCAACAGCACAGGTGTATCAGGTAAGAAAACATCTTCTCATTCTTTCTTAGACTGGCCTCAGGCAGCCGTTCTCTCGGGGTAGCTGGAGTGAGTGATGCCAGCTCTGCCTGGGGCTCCCACTTTTGCCCAGGGATGCTTTCTGCACTTATGGGCCATGACTGCTTTGAGTGAGTGTTCAGGAGAAAAAGGGCCCTTGACTGAAGAGTTTTCTTAATGTGCCTCATCTGTTTCAGTTTTTTCTTTCTTCATTCCCTAGCTGAGAATGCACTTCTGCCAGTTGAGCAGCACTTTCTTGGCTTAGTCAAGGGCTGTGTTTTTAACAGGATGCTCCTGGAACCTTTTTCCCGAGGGCACTTACTCTAAATTGGGGGCAATCACTTTTTCTAAGGCACTGCAATATCCCAGCTCAGCCCCAGCCCCTCCAGCAGCTCTGTAGGGGCCTGCTTGAACATGAAACTCTTCCATAAACCCCAGCACAGCCAGTGGGGTACGAGCTGAATAGCTTTGCTTAGGGCCTCCCTAGGTGCCATTAAAACCCCAAAAACAACCATCCCTTTCTAATGAGTTCATTAAGTCTCCTGAACTTGGGTTAGCAGGAAGAAACCTTAGGGGAGCAGAGATCTTAGGGGAAAAATATGTGTAGAATGCAAACCATTTTTAAAAATAATAAATTTTAAAGAAAGATATGTATTTGCAGCTCTCAGTCACATTCCCTCCGAAGGTGTTAGCTAGGCAACCAGCGACGGTCTCGGTATATTCTTATTCTCTCCAGATCTGGAGGCTGGATGTGGAGAAAGCTTGCCATGATTACGCAATGAAAATAGAGGGGGGAGTAAAAAAGAACTTGCTGCATGTAAAAACATGCCTACACCCCCCAGAGCAGGGGTGGTTGTGGCATTAAAGGGGTCTTACATCTTCTGCTTCGTAGATATCCTTAGTAGCTTCAGAGGAGTGGAAGAGGCAAAGTGGGAACTGTAGTAAAACATGACATTGTTGTTACACGTTTTGGAATTAATCAGGGAGATCTGATTTTTTTTTCACTGGGAAGGAAAAGAATCTTGCTCAGAGAAAGTGGCAAGTCAACTGCTCTTAGTCAGGATTGACAGAATGATTTATCCTGTGACCTTGAATCTGTTATCCAGGGTCACATCCTGACATCCTCACACTCTGAAGCAATCCAGTGGTACAGTGAAGGCAGAGGAAATACTGCTTATTACCTAAGGGCACCCAGATCTTGCCCATCATTTCAATGATCCTGTTTCTCCTTCTGCAGCTGGGCTACCATTGAAGCTGGGGGTTGAAAAGTGATGTTTGAGTACATAAGACCAAAAAAAGAGAGAATTTTAAGGAAGAGTCAGTCTTCTCAGCCTCTGTCTCCAAGGTCTGCTCCTAGGCACAGCAAATGCCAGGATACTGTGTTTGTTGGATACATTATTTATTTTATTATTAATTCCCTAATTGACTTTCTTTCTCCAGTTACACAATAGTGATGAATTGCTTGGTAGGAATACAACCACTCGTGGCAGACTCAGGCAAGGCAAATTCTAACTTCTGCAATTCCAACTGTTCAGGTTGTAGTCTTCCAAATATTTCAAAGTGTGAGACATTCCATGGTCAAGGAAAGATTCTCTATTTGGATTCAGGATTTAGGGTGGCTGTAGTAGGACATTGTTTAATCTTGTAAAAAGGGAGTAGCCTTGCTTGCATGTGTATTTGGATCAGTTAAACAGAACTAAATGAAATTTTATCCTTGCATTAGTAAAAATATTTTTGGTACGAGATGCTTTTATGAATAGCAGCATATTAATGGGCAAAACTGCCAATGGCTTCATTTTAAAGCCCTGATTTTGTTTTCTAAATGCAGTGTGATTCAGAATTTTGATGATAGAGGCCATCCAACACCCCTAAATTCTCTGCTCCTGAGTTCTGTGCCCTGTATATTGAAAAAAACCCCCCATATTCCAAAGAGGAAGAAAATTTTGGTGATTTTGAAATTCATCAGTAAGACAAAAGAGACAAAGGACTTCCCAAAAGCAAAACTACCAGTGAAAATAATGTTATGGTTTGGCAGAGGGGGGAAGTGGGGGTTGTATGCAGGCTGCTTCCTCAGAGCATTTCTGAATACCCTTCTGGGGTGCTCTAGCTGTGTGTAAAGCAATTTCTCTGTCATGTGTGTTATTTGCCTGAAGTGAATGAGCCAAATTCAGCCTAAGTCAGCACATTTTTGTCAGGGAAACATTTTTTTAAAATAGTGGTTTTTGGTCTGCTCAAGACAGTGATTAGTGGCAAGGAATTTGGCATTTAAATTATTGACAGGTCTTCAGGACAAAGACTGTGGCTTCCACTATTTTATCAGGGTTTGAGATGCTGCAATAATAAATGTGCCACAGTGAATGAGATCATCTGCAGAAAGACATTTGGGGAAATATTTCTTCATTTGCGTGAGGAAGGAGCACTTCTGAAAGGAGTTTTGGGGTGTGTGTCTGTACTGTGTAATTCCTCACTGAAAGAGATTTTAATTCTCTAATTAGAATAGGTATATATTTAATATTTAAGTTTCCACTCTGTTAAGTGACTTTTATACTCTTGCATTTAATTGTCATTCTGCTGTGTGTCTCCCTAAGCCTTTTACTTCTATTCGTGGAAACAGAGCAGCTTTAACACGTGAATGTATGCAAAGAGTGGTCCATTTTCTGTAGCTTAAAACTGCCAGAGAGGCTTTGATGTTCTAAAGGTTGCCATGAATTAAGCCTAATGCTTTTTCAATTACATTTCAAAATACAAAACATATTTACAGTGAGCTTCCCTTAGAGTCAGGAATGGCAGATGGGAAGGATATACATACTGCTCTGGATAATCCTGGAGTTTGGCAGAGGTCAGATTGTTCACTGACCTTGCAGGATAGTCCTTGTCTTTTTCCCAAGAAGTTTTCTTCAGTGGTGATGACATCTGGGACATCTGTCCCAAATGTTTATCAAAATAAAATGTACTGATCCCAGCTCTCCAGTTAAACTGTTTTTTCCATCTGCCAGGTTAAAAGATTCATATAACAACGATGTCACAATCCCCAAGAGAATCAGGTTAGCAGATCTAGAGAAGAAACAGAAGATGCAAGAAGTGATTTTCTACATCTTGCTGCTCTGTGTATTTTTCAGAAGATCAGTGCACCTTCCTGACCAGAGTGGGCTCAAATCTGTGTCCTACTGGCCACAGACTTACGGATTCTGAGCTTTTTTTGCATTGATCCTGGAGATTTTGGCACTTCTGGGCAAAAATGAAATTGCTAATACTATCCCTTGCTCAGCTGCTGTTGTGCTCTCATTCACATGGAACTTACAGATTGCCTCTTGCTTTGGTGTGATTTAAATACCAGATATTTGCTAGTAATATTGATAAACTTCTAGCAACTGTTTTCAAGCAGTGTTCTGGAAGAGAGCAAAGACAGGCTGATGCCTCACTTGTCTGACAAGCCCTTTAAAGATGTGCTGTCCAAGCTGATGGATGTTTCTCCCCCAGATCACTCCACATTTGCAGGGTGCCCTGGTCCTGCAGCAGCTGGGAGGGAGGTGTCAGCTTGGATTGGAAGGATTTTGGGATATGTGTACTTTTCATTCTGGAACTGCTAGTACTTAGCTCTGAAAGAGACATTTCTTTGCTCTGTCATGTCACATTCATTGCTTGGAGTTGCTTTTCCTAACCTGTGTCAATATTAAGAGGAATTCCACAGGTTTGTGCAGTTCATCAATGGGGATTTCCTTTCCCTTTGTCTATGCAGGAGAACTCACTATTGCTTTCATGGCTTAGACAGCAGCAATCTATTTTCAATGAGCTCAGCTGAAGTTCTCCCAATGCTCCAGATGCAAACATATTCTCAAAAATATCTGCTTGAAATGAGATGTGTACAGAGTCAGCATGTGGATCATCTTCAGCTTTACCTTTGGGAATGACTTCCAGAGGGACAGAAGTCCCCAGGACTGTTGCCATTCAGCCAGTGAGGCCCTCCACACTGGCCTGGTGCAAACTGAAAAGAAGATTTTGAGGAGCTCTTCTACCCCTTGGATTTGACAAGTCAATATCTTGATTTTACAAAGTCCTTTTTCTTACTGAAACAAGCTTTACAGCAGCTTACATTAGGAAGTGAAGTTGCTGAATCAACTAATAATAGTCTCCTTTCTTTTCATCCTTACTGCTTACACTATGAAAAGTTAATCCCTTCCAATGCATCTTTTCTATGCTGGTCTTCCTTTTTCAGGTACAATAATGAATAATATTTTAGGCCATATATAATCCCAACTGCTTATCAAGGATGAAGGAAATTCTCCCACCATTCTTCTTGTAACTTTAAAGCTCTGGATGTGATGTGTAGAAGTCTAGAGGAATGACTCAAAGGAGTTTTCACCACATGGTAAATCAAGCCATAAAATTATTTCAGCTGTAATAGTTTAATAATACCCCTGGTATTAAGTGCATATAGCTCCACTAACTCCAGCACATTTGTTACACTGATGATCTGACCCTAAGGCTTTATTAATAATAGAAACAAGATTTATTTTAATTGTGTCATGGATATTTAAGTAAAACTCCCTCTAGATTGTAATCTTCTTAAAACACATGGCAGGCTATAGCCCTCAGTCTTTAACCTGACTCTCATCATTTTAACTTCCTTTGAGCTCCACGGCTTTCCTTAATGCCATTAAAATAGAATCCTGACACAGGAGAACAGCTGAACTCCAAGCTTTGTCAAAACATGATCAGCACATGGGATACATCACTACAGTGCTGTCACCTTCTGACTTGAATTCTGTTTTCAAAACACTTTACTGAACTTGGTTGCTGCTTTAGCAACAGAAGCTGAAAAGCATCACCTTCTATTGAGAAGTCAAAGAGATTTTCAGCAGATATATTCATTTAAGTGTATTGCAGCTATTTAATTAGGAAAAGATATAGAGTACCATTCTTTACATATAAAAGGGTCTCTGATATTTTACTGATTAGAAACACTTTCCATGTCTATGACGGGGATTTGTGAATTACAAATAAGTATGTTTTTAAACAAACTTATTATAAAGCTATAATTACATTACAGTAAATAATGATGGTTGGATGATTGAAAGACCAGCAGTCTGACAGAAAGAAGTGTTGATATAGTTGATGAGACCGAATAAAGAAAGAAAAATCTTCTGTCGACATCTGTTATAAATCTTCAAAGCCCTTGTCTAAATCAATTATGTTATTCCAATTTATGTAGCTGAAAACACATCTTGGAGTGTTCCAAGATCCTTCCTCAGAAGAGACAGAGGGACCTGAGAAGAAGCTGAGATAGTAATTTGAGTTGAACATACAACAGTGTGCTCATGGCAAGGAAATCTTAGAAATGCAGTTTAACATCACATTTTGCTGGGAACTAACAAAGTTGCACTTGGAGCAGTGTCCCTGTGCTGGGAGGTCACAGAAGCTTTGACAGCTCTGCTAATGCAAGACTTTAGTGTCTGTGCTGCTCAAAATTTACATTTACACATTGTAATCCCAGAACTCCTTCCTTATATTACTGAGTCTGGACAAGAGTTTCAAGACCAGGACAATCAAAGGTTTTTCTTTCATTCTCCTGTAAGAAGAGTTGGTTATTGTAGGATACTCTGTTCCTGTGCTGGCAATAACTGCTCGTGCTGAGCTGAATGCCCAGGCTGGCATATTTTGGAGAGAAAAACCATGTGCTTTATGTGGGTCAATGTCACATGAACACTCTAAGAAAGTTATGTAAGTACCAAGGCAGAATGTGTTTGTGGTGCATTACTCTTTAGCCTTCCATGCATATTTAACCATTTCTCTTCTGTTACAAGTCATCGGTACCTCCCAAATGCCACATTTATGGCTGGGCTCAGTGAAAGATGCTAAACCAGTGCTCAGGCAGCTTTGATCCACTACATTGAGTCACAGGCCCTCTCAAAGCACTGGCAATTCTTCTCTTTGCAGATGGTGCTGTCAGACATTGTCCCAGCCCCTCATTTATCTCTTCCTGCCCTGTCAGTCACAGTGCAGCGAGAGGAACAATGCGAGCAGGCGCAGATCTTCAACTGGAGCCTGCCAGGTTTAACAGATAATGAAGACAACACAACCTTGCCTTTGTTTGTGAGAGATGGTGGAAAATCCACATCACTGCTTGTGCCAGGGCTGAGGGGCTGGCAGCTGCCAGGGGCTGGCAAATGGCAACCAGACCTTGGGCTAAAGACTTCAAGGAGCATCACTGGCCTGCCAAGAAGAGGCACCTGAGAGAGGAAGCCTGATTGCTGGGAGAGGCTGTGCCATGAGCACAAATCCCACAGCAACACATCTTCTCCCAGCCAAAACCTGCTGCCTGCTATCCAGATTCCAGATGTGCAGTTTTTCCTGGTTTCCTGTCACATTTGACAATGCTCCAGCCTTCTTGATCTCAGCTGTTTTATAGTAAGAGGCTGTCACAGCTGCATTTCAGAGTTCACAGATGCATTTTAGGCAGTATACAAAGTATCTTTGTTTCCCTCATGCTTTTTCTAAATTGCTAAATCTATTTTTCCTACTTTTTGTTAGAAAGAAACTTTAAAAAGTATGTGCTTGTAAGTAAAGATGCCACAGTCTTGCCTGAAATTTGTTTTGTTTTAAACAGAAATATCTGAAATGGTTTTCCTACCTATAAAAATCTCCAGTACAGCTGATTCTACTGTAGGTGGTCTCTGGTGTAAAATAAGTAAATAACTTCCATTTGCTGTCATTCTCCTGTTTGTAAACATGGGAAATTTTAATATACTTATTCTCTTTACCCAGAGCTATGAGTGACATTGGAGATTACATAGGTTCCAACATTGAAATCTCCTGGTTGCCCAACCTGGATGATTTGATGAAAGGGTATGCACGAAATTTCAGGCCTGGGATTGGAGGTAAGACTTGGAGAATAAATAATGTCTCTTTGGTTCTTACAATCCTTCTGATGTTTATGTGAAATTCGTACTTTAAATAATTAAAAAGTTGTGATTATCTTTTACTTGGATGCTGAAAAAAAATAACAATCAACATTTTGCTTGATTTTGACAAGAGACAGACTGTTCAACAGCAATACAGACTTCTGATGCAGTTCTTAAATCGTTGACATCTAAGTTGAAGGAATCTTGTATTTCATTAAATGGTGATAATTTCTGCATCTGCTTGAAGTCATGCTGTCTTAAACTAGATAATGTGATTTCCAGAAAGGATTCTGTGATTTTCAGTACTTGTGATTTTATCTTGTGTCTCTTATCACTGAAGTGAGGTGTGCTGTTGGAAATTGAGGGCACAATTGATAAAAGATTTAAAACTCTTGCTTTAAGAATGTACTTTATAATGGGAAGCACTTCAGTGAACTGATGAAAAAATTAACAGTCTGGGGCCTTTGATATTTTTATGGGTACTATGATGATATAGATCACCCTATTCAAACACTTTTTTCTCAGGTCCTCCTGTTAATGTTGCTCTGGCAATTGAAGTAGCCAGCATTGACCACATCTCAGAAGTGAACATGGTACAGTATCAGATTTTTTAGTTTTGCTTTAAAAAAGGCAAAGGCTCAAAACCAGAAGCTGTATTTGTTGAGCTATGTAAACTGATTTTCTCTGTCAAGACCTATGCAACTCTTGCAATGTGTTATGTATCACATTGATATTGAATCACTTTTTTATATCTTGTGCTTTTCCATAGTAGGAGCATATGACCAAAATACAAATGCTTGGGCAGCTCCCTGGCTGACTAAGTATAAAAATATGTATTTGCACTGAAAGCAAATAATATCTTTCTAGGCTAAGACATTGATTTTTGGCTAAGTTCCAAGACATTATCATTGTCAGCATCACTTGTTAATTAGGATTTCTCTTGTCACAGGAATACACCATGACAGTATTTTTGCACCAGAGCTGGCGAGACGATCGTCTGTCTTACAACCACACCAACGAAACTCTGGGCTTGGACAGCAGGTTTGTGGACAAGCTCTGGTTGCCAGATACTTTCATAGTCAATGCCAAGTCTGCCTGGTTCCATGATGTGACTGTGGAAAACAAACTTATCAGGCTCCAGCCAGATGGAGTCATTTTATACAGCATCAGGTGAGTGACAAACAGCACAAGCGCTGTCTGTTGTGTGTTAACTTTTTGAACGTTCTATAATCACTCAGCAATCCTAGGAGGATTTCCTGAAATAATTGTTAGTTAAAGATTGAAGAAAAGCTCCTATCCCACTATCCTTTTCTTTATGAGAAGTCAGGAAGGTCTCTTTGGCAGCACTAACTCATTTTGCACTGCACAGTCACTGATCATGTTCAGAATGCCCTCGGTGGGGGAGAAGCCTCTCATGGCTTTGGTCACTAGGCAAAGAGGTGCTGAATAGAGAGCAAAGATTCTCTTCTCCCTCACTTTATTTTCCAAGGGAACTGTGAGCCTGATTTAGGCTCAGCTTCCCCATCTTTCACACAAAGTAGCATTTCTCCCTTTTGAAGAGGGCTGTGGCTGGAACTCAGTAACTATATTGACAGTTAATTGTGTAATGTTCTGAAAAATAATGAATGTGCACCTTTGAAACTGTAAGTCCAAAGTCCCCCTTAAGGTATTGGTAGTGATCTTGGGGACAGTGAAAGGGAGGATTTTGAATCAGAAAATTCCTTTTTATCATCATCAGTAGCTGCAGAATCCTCTGACGTTAGACGAGTCATTTGACCTTTTTTCAATTCCCTCTGCCTCTGGGTTTCCCACAGACTCAGGCAGCAGCCAGCAGGACTTTGAAAACAGTTTTCTTTGTTAGTATTAAGGTTTCAAAGTTTTCCACTCAGTCTTTTGAGTTCTGAGGAAAAGGCTCTGTCTGAATGTCACTGACTGGTGTTCACGTTGCTCCAAACAGGATTACCTCAACAGTGGCCTGTGACATGGACCTTTCCAAATACCCAATGGATGAGCAGGAATGCATGTTGGATTTGGAGAGCTGTAAGGGCTGAGTACCTCTGTGTTTTGTGTAAAGCCTGCATACACGGTGCTGAGATAGCTGGACTTTGCTGGGCTGATTCTGCTTTGGTCACTTGGGGTTTATAATGAGCAGAAATATCTTCATTCCCTGTGTTGGGCATTAAACTGTGGAATTTTCAATACCAGTTCAATCCTGGTCCAATCCAAATCTCTAGGATTTGATTTAGGGAGGATGAACAATGTACAATCCTGCTGACAAATGTCTGGAACTTTGTGCTTCATGTGGAACCTTGTGCAGTTGTGACAGTCTCTGGCATTACTGAGGTTTTTATCAAATCCAGTGAGAACGAGTAGAAAAGCCCACAGGCAAAATGTGATGTGCTATTTTTAATTTATGGGAAAATAGGAAAAAGAAAGAATTCCCTGCTTTTAATGAATGCCATTGTGACAAAACTTCACATAGCTCTTTAACTTGCCTTGGCATTCGTGTATCTGTTACACAGAAATCCATCAGAATACTGCATGCATGGGCTTAATTCATTTGTACTCACAAAGGAGGGTGAAGAATGGATTTATATTTTATCCAGCTTGTATTTAATCTATGATCAGCATGTAATTCCCATGAGCATTAATACTTCTGAATGAAAATCACCACTGGCACAAGCAGGGACCACCCAGTCAGGGAAAATGAATCTGGTTTTTAGATCAAGAAGCCTAAAGGTCCTGAGGGTTGCAGAGATGTGGGAATAGCAGATCCTGAGCAGATCCCTTGGACTGTTGATACAAGTTTCCCGTTTTCTTTTTTGTCACTGACTTTGTTTTCTAGGCTGTTAACCACAATACCATTTTATCCTGTCAAAAATAGCAATCTACAGTTTTACTTACATAATCACCAAATGCAGAGGCAGCAGACAGTGTCCCAGCAATTCATTCCCTCTCCCAGTGAGTTCTGCAGGGAGTTTTGGTGGGGGTTGGAGGTTTTAATTGAATTTGAGGGTTTTCATTTCAGTGAAACAAACAGAAATAAAGTCTCTTTAAAAAAATGAGCGCTTTAGTAGCAAGTTGTCAATGAACAGCAAAACTAGGGAAGATTGATTTCCTGTGGATTTGCATATTACATAAATCCTCTCATTCATATCCCCCCTTTCTGCCACAGCCCTGGTACCCTGCACCTCTCCAAAGCAGAGAGAATTATCCAGACTGAATCTCAGCACATTTGCAATGTGTCTGGTGGAAATCAGCATAGCAGGGGAATTAGAGAACTTCTACTATGAATTCTCTAAGCTCTGAATTTCTCCCTTGAATTTTGTGTTTATTCAGCTTTCTTTTGACAGATGGCTACTCTTCAGAGGACATTGTCTACCACTGGTCAGAAAACCAGGAGGAGATCCATGGGCTGGATAAGCTGCAGCTTGCTCAATTCACAATTACCAATTACCAGTTCACAACAGAAATTATGAACTTCAAATCTGGTAACAGAATCTTTCTTCAATTCAGTGACAGTATCTGACTTTTTTTTTTTCCTGCAGAGAGAAACCTCCTCTATCTATAATAGAAAATCCTTCTTCTTAAGTAACTAATTTAAGAACCTGTCAGGTTGCTGATAAGTTTCCTTCATCTTCCACTTGTAAGAAGTGCCATTCTTTGCTGAGCCTCTAGGTAGCCACTGTAGCATGTTCTGTCCTTTAGCTCTCTCTGCTTGACAAAATACTGCGTGGAGTAGCCAGACAGCACTTGATAAAAAGCACTTGAGGTATAGCTCACATTTTCTTGACCTAATTTGCAACTTCAGATCAAGAAAAATTTCCATTAGCCCTGATGTTATGGAGCTTATGACGTACAGTCAGATCAGTCTAATTCTACCCCGTAGAAGTCAGTGGTGTGTATGTCTATCACTGGGCTTATTGCAATGTTTGTACAAGATTGGAGTCATTTCTTTCCTGCTGATTTTTCATCCTCTTTCATGTATTCAGATTCTCATTTATGCTGCACATCTCCTCTAAGCTCTTTTTTGAGTTTGAAATTAACTTGGCCTTTTAAAAAATCTAAATTTAGTATCTGGAGGACTTTCTACAGCAGATGATAAGACAGTACACATTTTGAAGCAATACTGTTATTTGAGAAGACTCATGATTTTATTTTCAGATCTGGCATTGATATGACCTGAGACAAATCATTTGACCTATTCTTAGCTGATGAAAGCTGCAGTACCTCGTGCAGGGTTTATGAAGCATCAATCGAACAGCATTCAAAAAAGCTTTTTGTGACCCTTGTGCAGAAGATGCTAAAGAGCGTATCTCTGTGTCATTATCTGAAATGTCATTTTTAATATCAATCTAACTGTAATTCACACAGCCAGAATCTCTTCTGCCTGCTCTCTTTTCCAGCAGGTCAGTTTCCCAGGCTCAGTCTCCACTTCCACCTTCGGCGAAATCGAGGAGTTTACATCATCCAGTCTTATGTCCCTTCCATCCTACTGGTGGCCATGTCGTGGGTGTCCTTCTGGATCAGCCAGTCAGCTGTGCCTGCCAGGGTGTCACTAGGTAAAACAGATGGCTCAGGGACTCACGGGGAAGGGAGTGCTCGAGTGGGAATTGTGCTCTCTGATAATCCTCATTAAGGTGCATTTATGACCACCATGTTTACATTTGCAGAAGGGTTCTTTGAAAGATTTCTCTCCTGGTTTAATTTCTGTCGTGTTATCAGAGCAGCTGCCTCAGTAAGGAACAGCAAATAACCACCTAGGGAGGGTTAAAAGCAGTAATGACTGTGAAGGAAATGAAAGAATTGATTTGAAGGAACTGGGACAGTGACAAAAAAATGTTCTTGAAGCTTGTGGGTCTGTTTGTCTGACTAAGGGTTGCCAGTCCAGATGTAAAAGTGTTTGAGGGTTAATTCTTTGGCCTTTGTTCTCCTGCTCTAGGACAAAACCAAGGATAACTTGTTCAAAGCTGCCTTAGTTATAAAAATGCAGTTTCTTAAAAATTCCCCTGTTTTGAAAATCAGAAGCCATGGTATTAGGGGCTTTAACTGTGAAAATAATCCTCAGCCTCATATTAATAAATATATTTATGTACATCAGTGCATATATTTCTCTCTCATGCTGCCCTGCAGGCATCACCACTGTTCTTACAATGACCACTCTGATGGTCAGTGCCCGATCCTCGCTCCCACGAGCCTCTGCCATCAAGGCACTGGATGTTTACTTCTGGATCTGCTACGTGTTTGTCTTTGCTGCGCTGGTGGAATATGCCTTTGCACATTTCAATGCTGACTACATGAAAAAGCAGAAGAACAAGATAAAGGCGAGAAGGCAGAGTGCAGAGGTCAGTAAGTGTGATACTGGGAATAACTTTGCCAAAGCAGTCATCCTGCTTCATGACCTTTTACTACAAATTCTTCCTGAGAAGAAAGGCTTTTGAGAATGTTCTCGATGGTGCCTCAGTAATCCAGAGCATGCAAAGCCATAACCAGAATTACATGGGTAGCACAGAGTATTCCATGAGTTCTGCCAAAGCAGGGGATAAATCCCATTCACCACATATGGAACCCAGGGGTGTTTCACCATGCTGGTGCCATGGATAGCTTGGATGAATGACACTGTCCTTGCCCTGTAAATTGCCATTATTCTCCTCTTTCCTTTGCAGATCAACGTGAAGAATGCCATTGTTCTGTTTTCCCTCTCCATAGCTGGTGTGAGCCAGGAACTGGCCATTTCCAACAGGCAGCACCGAATTCCCAGAAGCCTGCCTGGATCATATGGCACAATAGAAATAGAAACTGGAGAGACAAAACAGCAGCAGGGAATGAAACTGGACAAAAAGACTGGCCTGAAGTCCCTCTTTAAGCCCATTGATGCTGACACCATTGACATTTATGCCAGAGCCGTGTTCCCAGCAGCCTTTGCAGCAGTCAATGTTATATACTGGGTTGCATACACAATGTAAAGGCAACAAAAAAAGGAAAATTCTTCCCTAGACCTACAAACTGAACAATACCCACAGGCTAAAAAGCCCTCACTGAAACTGAATTGAAGCACCTCTTCTCGAAGTATTTTCCAATGAGCTCAAACACTTCCAAAGTCAAGGTCCTGCTATGAATTCCTACTTAAAGCAGCAATTTATTGCTGACCTGATTTGATACGTAAGACTGCACTCTGCCAAACAATTCCAGCTCTTCCTTTCCTGTAATACCATGAGACAACTTTTCATATGTACATATTTGTAGCAAAAGTTTAAATCTTAAATGACCATGGTTTTCCTCCACTTCAAGGTTGATCAGTAATGAAGATTTGGCTTTTCACACTCAGATAATTTCCTTTTTATTTGTAATGAAAGAGCTCATTCCTCACTTCTGCACGAGTGGTTTTCTGCATCTGTGGGCTGGTCTAGGTTTAACAGTAGTGCTAAAGTTGGAGTTTTTAATCAGAAAAATCTCATGAACAAAGAAAAAGGGAATAGAGGGGAGTGGAGGTTTTTTCTTAAAATATTATTTGTCTTGGATAAAGTATTGAAAAATTTCAATGCTCTTAGTCACAGCATGAAATAAAATATACTACATAAAATTCTACTGAATTGTTAATAATGACTGTATTACATTTCAGATCTGAGCTAATGAAAGTTTAAACATTTAAACACAGAAATGTTTATTAGTTTAATAGGCCCCAAAATAGATAAAGTGGTTTAGAACCACAGGGAAAGCTCAGGCTTCCTGTGTTAGATTGGGAAAAATTTGAAAGGTGCTTGATAATGAAGGAAGTCAGACTCCATTTGCAGGAATGACTTTAGAATTTGTTCTGTTAATTTTCACTGAGAATCTACCATGTGTGCCTCTGAAAATATCCTTTTTGAATCTGTCCCTAAATAGCTGAGGGAAGTAAAAAAATTTCATAACTGTCTTTAAGTTATTCCGTTGCTTTGGATATTTTTGCTGGTTTTATTCAGAGGCTGACCTAATCTCTTAGGCCTCTTCACTTCCATTATTCAACAGTGAAGTTTATGGGTCCTCATACACACTGCTTAATTCAGGACTAGATCTCTCACCCAACTCATGCAAAATAACACTTTGGTCTGTAAATAATCTCAGTGAGCTCAGCAAGTGAACACAGTACTCACAACAAACTAGTTTCACAATTATTCTCTAAAATCTCCACATTGGAATATGGATTAAAACAACTGGAATATTGTTAATGTAGGAAGCCAATGTAATACATTACAAAAGGGCAATTTATTTTCAGGATATTGTTGCCTCGAAAGTGAGATGTTGTTTTAAAAATAGAGACTGCCACAAAAGAATAGGTGAAATGAGAGAGAGGGAAAGAAGGAAGCAAAGCAAGAGGCTGAAAGCTGCAATGGAAAGGAGCATGGAGAGAGACTAAGCCAGAAGCTGTAGGTGAGAGAAGAGCTTTGCTGGCATTTAGGATGGGGCTCTTGAACGTGTGGCTGACAATTAATAATTGCAATAGAGGTGAAAGGAGGATTTGATCCCAGTGGAGTATGTGCACATTACTCCTGCCTTAACTCAGCTATGATTTAAAGTTTCATTTCATATGACCAGCACTGAAAGATAAAACATTCTAGCACTGATTTATAACTTAGAATAAGATTTGCTCAGTATCAGCAAAGTAAGAGAATGCTTTGAAGGAAAAGTAATTATCTTGAACTGGGCTGCAATAGAAAATATGTTGCACTGTAGGTCTTAGGTTCACTCCAATCTTTAGTTTCTGTTATCATGGAAAAGCCATCAGCCAACAGAGAGCTGGAAAACCCCAGGTGACATCAAGCTAGATTGTTCCACCCAGTCCTCACCAACCCAGCCCTGCACTGACACCTGGATTCTGCTCCCACATCTCACCACTGAGCTGCTGGGGAATCTCAGTCAAAAGCTTCCACTGAATCATCTGAACAATTGCTATAATGATTTCTTTCCTGTATCTTTGAGTTTTACAGAAGAAAAGCCCTTCAGGAGATCAAAACCTGCTATCTTCCAGCTAGGTAAGTGCATCCAATCAGTACTTTCATGGTACTATTTACCACTGTTTCTGAGGCTCACATACTGAATTAAGGCCAAGTATCACTCAAATGTCACCTTACCCAGAAAAGCAAACGAAAATCTGCATTTCTTTCAATATATTCAGGTAATCAAGCTTTTTTCTTTCCCTCCTGCTTCTCCTCTTTCTAATTTGTTTTTCCTATTGTTTGTTCCTGATGCTGATGGAATGCTGCATTTCAGAAATACACTATATTTTTTTCTAAGTGTGTTTTTGGTCATAATCACTTTCTCTCCAAGGAAACGCAACCTCTTCTGCCTTCTTCTGAATAAATCCTACTGCTCTATATAATGATTTAATGCAGAGTGGAATAAAAGCAGCAGAAGCATGAGTTTACAATGCCTTTTCCTTCCTAAGTTGTTGTTTTTTTCCATCATCCATCACCACAAAAATATTACATCCTTTAGAAAGATCACAGTGCCACCGCCTTCTCTGTTACACTTGCAAAAATCAGAAATAATCTTTAGTTTAAAATCAGATTAACTTTTTCTGGGAAAGCAGAATTCAGCCTTTTAATATCCCACTGTTTTCTGCAGCTATTAGTTTATTATGTAGTCTGTCAATGTTAGTAACTTCTGCTAAGAGTGAAATTTTTGACTAAATCCAGCTGGAGGAATATTCACAGCAAGTTCTTGAGGAGTGCAAATCACAAGAAAATAATCCATGATTTTGGAATTAAAGTTATTAAAGAGCAGAGAAGGAAGCACAGCCCTAGTCCCTCTAGTGTGCAGTGGCCAGTTTTTGAGAGTAATTAGCAAGAAGGTGGCTGCAGATATTCTAAAGGCAATGTCTAATCTAATTACTTCAGCAGTAATAGTTTGCAATTGTGCACCTGACATAACTCCTTTCACTGCAGCCAACTGACTGATCACATGGGGTTATTGGACAAAATTAGTTGCTTCTCCATCTGGGAGACACTCACAGGCTGCATGTCCTGCTGACTGCTCCAGAAGATTTATTCAGTGAATTTTCTCTCTAGTTTGACTGCAGATCTGCAAGGTGCACAGCTCAGTGTGACTGATCAAAGTAAAAGGTGGCAGCAATCTCCTGAAAAAACCCCAAAGCCAGAATGTCAGATTACCCACAGTGATGTAGACAGAAGCATAAATAAAAGGCAAAAAAGTATCTCAGAAGGTTGCAGGGAGTTGGAGAAGTGCCCTGTGAGCACATATATGACAACCTGTCCATCCCAGAAACAAGGAGATCTGAGGGGAGAACAGGAGTTTCAGCTGCTGTTGTTGCACTTGCATGAGTAGCACAAGACAAAACACCTCCATCAACAAGAGGGAGATTTTCTTAAATTGGTTTCCAAGGCCAGAAACTGAAAATTCAGATGCCATTCAAACTTTTGAGGAGACATTTCAGTACAGGAGTATGGTGAATTGATTGGAGTTTTGCATAAATTTGAATCTTCCATACTTTTGTATGTGCTTCACCTTTTTTTTTTTTTAATTTAAAATCATTGTATTTAAAAATCCTCAGACATTACTGCTTTAGACCTATTAACATCTAAAGACAATTCTCTATTCAACTCTAACTTCATGATGCCTTTAATAAAGTGAAATAAGCCAGATTTGATGTCAGTTGAATGCTGACTTTGGATGGGTTGTACTAGTGCCATAAAAAAAGTATGTGACAGATGAGAAGGCACTTTTTCTGTGCTGCACCTGAAAGCATTTGTGTTCCTTTCAGCAATTTATAGTACTGCTCTATGGACTGGCATGTCTGTGAGAAAAAGAGTGGGATATGTGTTAATGTAATCATTCTAAATGTGAAGTGTTAATAAAATGTAGATATACAGAAATTGGAGCTTCTATAAACGGACAAAATAGGCATTCCAACTATTGAACTGGAAGATAAAATGCATTAGAAGGAAAATCAGAATGACCCTAGAGATTTCAGCCCATAATGACATCCTGCCTTTTCAGTGCCCAAGGGTTTGCAAAATTCTCCTTTGGCCTTGACAACAGAAGAGGAAGCACCATTGTGTGTTCATGAGAGCTTTCAGGGGGGCACTTATGCACACTGCTGTACTGATGTGAAAAAATAGCTATTGCTGCCTCATGAGGTTGGAAAGAATCAGAAAGCACAAGATGAAAGATGAAGAAGAGCAAGATATTGCATTTGTTTGAAAGTAATGCTGGCATTTATAGTGACAGCACTATGAAGAGGTTAAAAACCAGAAAAGTCTGTCCTGTTTCTGGGTAAAAATGAGAGCATTTATCCCAGTTAAAGCTCTCACATCAGTTTTGAACTGGTTTGCTAATCCAATAGATAATGTAGTGAAACCAATTTAGCTCAATGAGGCTTCTGCTGTTGGGACAACAAAACACTTAATACGATTGCTCTGATTTTAAATACTCCCAGTCATTACCCTGGAAAAGCACTTCTCCTTAGGAGGAAAACAGCACCCTGTGTATTTGTCTCTGAAGCAGAACAGATAGCAAAAAGCTTATTGAAAGTCTCTGAGAATATTTTTATTTAAGAAAAAAAACTGAAGCAACTCCCTCCTGCCCTGTTTATTGCAGCAGCTTAAACCACTTGCCGTGGTTGAAAGCCTGTTTGATATTAAAATAACATTGTGTGCAATATATGTTACAAACATAAAGAGCTGATTCTTCCTAATGAATACTGAGTACAAATTTGGCAGTGAATATGTGTTTTTGGATGGATTTGGTAGATAGATGAGAGAGGCAGTGTGTCTTAATTTAATTAATTTGAGGATCTAAGCCCCTCATTACATAATGCATCAGGGATCTGCTCTCTCCTTATACCAGCTTTGTGCCACAGCTATTTCTTTTACTAAGTCTGCACAGTAAAAACAAATCTGAGAAGACAGTCAAGCCCAGACTGTCAGAAAATATAGCAGGAACAGAACTAATCAGATGTTATTGGGAGTTCACTGTTCCATGAAAAGATTGGTCCAAAAAAGTGAATCCAAATATTCTGCATTTCTGAGACACTGGAAACCTCTGAAAACTTATCCTGTCTTTAATTCTTGCAGTACTTCTATTTCACTTGATCCTCAGTTCTCTTTCCATTTTTTATCCTTTTGGAAAGGGGAAGAGGATTTTCTTTCTCTTTGGCACAAGAACATATTAGGTAAAACTAATATAATCTTATTGTCCAGGTATGAAAAACAGGGAGACTGAAAATCTCAACTGACAAACCTTTGTACCTTCCAATGATTATTACATAAAAGGCAAGAAACTCAACCCTGTGATAATTAAGCAGCACACTCCTACACAAACACACTCCCACACAAACACACTCTTTCCTCCCTGTTTCACTCTCTTACACTGCAGACTACTAACCCCATATATGCAATAAAGAGAAAAAGATAGTTTGAGTCATGCCTCAAATTCACCACACTCTTAAAGAAACTCTTCTTCCTAATTTTGGCCCAAACATCTCTAACATAGTTGCTGGGTAACATAAGTTACTATCAAATCCAGGTTGCATTAGTTGCTTATTGGGTAAGTAATCTCAAGATGAGCAGCACAAATATCACAAAACTCAA